GAGAGAGAGAGAGAGAGAGAGAGAAACATCAGTGTGAGAGAGACACATCGACTGGCTGCCTCCTGCACGAGCCCCGACCAGGGCCAGGGACGAGCCTGCAACCAAGGTACATGCCCTTGGCCAGAATGGAACCTGGGACCCTCAGTCAGCGGTCTGATGCTCTAACCACTGAGCAAAACCTGCCAGGGCTTTCTTAGTCACCTTGAAACTAGAAAAGTCTCCTCGTCTTTTTTGGTTGTTCAACGAACATTCTTAAAATGTCTTGTAGAATGTTCCATTATCTGGATTATCTGATTATTCCCTGTTGACCAGATTAAGGTTAAATCCAATGGCTAGAATACTGCAAAGGTAATGCTATTTCTTTTCCATTATATCACATCAGGAGGCACATAATGCCAATTTATCCCATTATATGTAAGGCATATAATTTTTCTAAATAATTGACTTTGAAATAAAAAATGCCTCTCTGTGTATCCTCAGGGAGCAACCAAATTAAAATGGAAAATTATGTAAACTTGGAAATTGTTGTTATGAAACTGAAATGAAGGGCAATGGAATGATAGAGAAAAACAGAAGATGGCAGACTTCAAAATATTTAGAGAGATTCAGTGCAATAATTTGTTTTGCTTCTGGGACAGATTTGGAGGCACAAGAAACCTAGTGCATGTGAAAGATTTCTAACTGGCAGAAAAAAGTATGGTATTTGCAGCAGGTAAATTCATTGCTCCTGATTACCAATTAGACTGTGCAGGTAGCTTAAAAGAAGATGTGCAGCTAACACAAGCATTCAGATATTTGTGGTAAGAACATAATCCACTGTTTTACTGGATTGGTTTAACTGGTTGGTAAAGTAGTATGAGTACAGTCAGCCCAAATAAAATACTTTAGTTAATACAGGCTTAAAAATCAAGGCAATACTTCCCCATTAATTTATCTAGATGTTAATAATAGTAAAACAAGCTCTTCATGAAATTATTTTAACACCTAGGTAAACTTTTAACAGAGTCAAAATCACTTATATCAGATTCTGTGGGGTAGTCTTATTCTTACATATGAGAATACACAAAACTTCACTTTTGAAAACTGCCCTAGATTTAGCTAGGCCCTAGATTTCTGTGCACCATTAGGTTTAAGTGCACCAGTAAACAAAGTCAGCAGTTGGCTTCTGAAACAAGAATAACCACTTACCCAAAAAACAAACTACTGCAGGAATTATGTGGAGATAGTTGCAATATGCTGACATGCAAGTATAAATGCATAGTTTGGGGTGCTCTGACTCTTCTAGAGCAGAGGATGCATTAAATATTTCAGTATGGAGTTTATAAGCTCATTTAATTCTTTATTAAAAGCAAAAACACTACATACTTCTACTCAAAGCAAGCTCCATATGATACAGCACTAATCTGAAGAATGAACGATGAACGGGAACTGGATATTTCTCCTACAGGGCCATTTGCATACACTTAGGTTTATCACATCTTTTCAAACATAAAGAAAAGACCCTGTGATTAATAAGCCAAAGTATTTCTCTATCCATCAAAAACCATTATAATTGCTGACTAGCTAAATGGTTACATAAAGTTTCTACCACCATCAATATTTTAATGTAACGTAATTTTTTGGTGACATTCTTGAAAGCAATAAAGCATTTACGGCGAATATATTTATTCAACTTCTTTTAATATATTAAAAAATTCAAGATTCACCTTCCAAGCATGATAAGTACCAGAGGGATCGGTCTGATATAATCTTGGGATACCATCATCATCAAAACCTACAATTAAGGCAGAAATACCAAAAGGTCTTCTTCCATTGCTCTGAGTGTATTTCTGAAAAATAAAATGTTTTCATAACTACTTTCTGTGTAGACTATACAAAGGCCATACTATTATTTATCAAGTAACAAATTCCAATAGTAAAGTGTTCTTGTCAAAATGATCTTTATTGATTCTCATTCTGTATATCTTTAAGATCCTCTTCCCTGACTTTCTTGACTAACCTGAAATCCATGATGAAATTTTAAAAAATGTACATAATCTATAAAATAATATCCTAAATTTACTTATATAAGGTTTTAAAATTGTTTTCTTGTTGATTTATGTACATTTTGTTAACATAACAAGGTTGCAATATTTTTAATACAGCAGAGAACTGTATTTCACACAGTTTTGGTCCCCAGTAAAGCTGATTTTAGCAAGCTGCGCTTTGGCACCACTCCTTGGTTTACTTTGGGAAACACTACAGTTATTATTACTATCAAATATTCTTACTTGATAGTATTATCTAGTATATTCTGTCCACTATATACTAAGTTATTTCTAAATAAAGCCCAACGAAATTTCTTTCAGTTCTAAAACATGAAAATCTTTGTTTCTCTTGAAGAAAAAGCATGCTTTTTCCTCACAGACAACAGGGCACTGGAAACCAATTGTAGTTTTTACTTCAGTGCCAGGAACTTCCTGGATTTGTGCTCCAGGGAGTGGGATTCACACTAATTCTGAGATTGGTGCCCCTAGAAGTTGTGCAAAAGGCAGTCCTGACAGAAAGCTCAAGACCACATTTTTAGGAACTTTTAGGAATTGTATCTAACTTTGTGGCTTGAAATAGCTTTATACTATATACTAAGCTTTCTTCCTGGACCTGTCTATTATATGTTTTCTTAATTTTTACATTTTATTATATATGTATTTTAATAATCCAATTCAAATTATGGATACAAATAACTGGCTACACAAACATAAATTAACTCTTAAAATAGGGTTTATGTCTTAATTTCTCTGTATCTCCTAATGTTCCTAGATCACACCAAAGTATGAAGAAGATTATTTGTAAATATACCTTAGAGGACAGAACCTTTTACTTTATTTGCTTAATCAACCATTTCTTAAAAATAAAAAAGTAATACATGTACATGGTTAAAACAATTTAAAAGTACCAAAGGTGTATCTAAAGCATATCTCTTTTTTTCCCCAGAATCCAGGACCCCCCTCAGTGGCAACTTCACTGTTACAGACTTAAAATGTATATTTCTATAAACGTTCTATGCATTACCTTTATATTTCTAGAAGAAAACCTAAAAATTACAATTGGGAGTCTTGTATACACAATGTTCTACACCTTGTTTTTTGGTGGATACCTATATAACCTCTGGGAAAATCAAAGCAAATAAAAAAAGCAGAACAATATTAAAATGTTGGATTTTCCTGCAACATAAATTAAGTTTAACAAAGAGGGAAATTTTTAAATAAGTATGTAATTTAAAACTTTAATATATAGAAAATATGATCTATAAAAAAATCTCTATGTGAACAAATGGTAAAATCCATGCCAGAAGTGTTCTACATGTTTTAAATGTATTCAGTCATTTACTCCAACTCAACAGAGCAGGTATTGCCGTAATGCTCATTTTATAAATAAGAAAATTGAGGCAAATCAGGCTAAATAGTTTGTCCAGAGCACTAACTATGTTATACTTATTTGCAAAATAAAAGAAAAATGAAAAACCAATGCTGATGATTATTCAGGGATACATTTATGCATTGTTCGTTGCACAATAAAAACTGGTTCAATTTTTTTAAGAAAGCAATTTAGCTATATATAACAATAATCTTAAAAACAATTATAATCTCTAATCCAGCAATCCCATACTGAAAAGTAGTTTAATATAATTTTTTAAATAAAAATAAAAGCTGTTTCAAATATAATGTTATCAAAGTAGCAATTTGAGAGCCAGCAAGTGAAAGAGGAAATGAGAAAATGAAAGAAACTAGAAACAACCTAAATAATTATAGATAGCAACTAAAAACAAGCCATACCTCTGAGATATCCAAACCACCACAATAAAGAGTATCACAATAAAGCAAGTCTTAATATCTTTGCTAGTGGAGAGTCTTACTTTATAATAAACGCAACATGTGTGAAGTGCAATAAAGCAAAGCACAATAAGATGAAGTCTGCCTGTATATAGTTATATAACAGGAGTGGGGATATCCAGCCCGTGGGCTGTCCCTGCCAAGGCAACAGCAGACAGGACTCAAAATTCAGTAAGTTGATAATTTTGTATGGTCCGCAAATGATGTTATACACATCCAAATGGCCCTTGGCAGAATAAAGGGTCCCCACCCCTATTATATAAGGACTATATTGACATATATAAAAACACATAAAATAGTAAGTGAAAAAAATATTTTTAGACATCATGATTATACTTAATGTACTTACTCATGGATTCAGAAGTCATACCTGAACTTGATCAGTTGTGTTTAGGTTTGCAGGTGAAAGAATCATGGGTATTGCTTTCATAAACTCTAAAAAATGGTTCTCATTAGTCTATCTCCAGAAGTGAAGGAATCCCCTTAAAAGATTATATTTCTTGCTCTTTTTAATTTTAATATAATTCCCAGAACTGATACTGACTGAGATTCCTAGTGATCAAAGCAATCTATTCACTGGAGTAACTGCGAGTATTAAGTATGAGAAAGAATAAAGAATTTAGTAGATTTAATAGACTAAATGAAGTATTTCCATGATTAGACCCATAATGATAAAGGAGAAAACTAAGCAACTTGTTGCTATATTGGCTTACCTGTTTTAAGGATGCTATGAAGCGAGTTATATATTCTACAGTGACTGGGTCCTCAACTGTAAGCTTATGACTTTGGCACTCCACACGGGCTCTGGTTATTACTACTCTAGCATCAGCAGTCAGTCCTATAAAAGTAGTTGATACATTATAAAAATGACTTTTTTCATCTTCGAAAGGGTTTTTTAGCTACCATAAAAATCTTTCTTATAATGTCCTTTGGGTCTCTCAATGTATGTCCATTATAAAGACTTTGTAAAATTCTTTGTGAATCACTCATCCCACATTCTGATTTATTTCCTTCAGGACTTAATTTGATGTACTTTTATTTACTTTTTAAAGAAAATGACAGGTCAGTGGAATTAAGTACATTTTACACTTCTGGGCAATCATTACCATCCATCTTTAGGACTTTTTTATCTTCCCAAACTGAAACTCTGAATGCATTCAACAATAACTTCTCATTCCTTCTGTCCTAACATCTGTTTGCAACCACCATTCTATTTTCTGTTTCTACTAATCTGATGACTCTAGGTATCTCATATAAGTGGAATCATATGGTAATTGTCCTATTGTGAGTGCTTATGTCACTTAGCATAATGTCTTCAAAGTGGACATACTTGACTAATTCCTGATAGAGTAAAAGCTTTCAGTCTTTGAGTATGATGTTCACTGTGGGTTTTTGCTATAGGGACTTTATTATGTTGAGATGATTTTTTTGTATTCTTAGTTTGTTGAGTGTTTTTATTATGAAAGGTATTGAATTTTGTCAAATGTTTTCTCTACATCAATTGAGATAATCATGTAGTCTCTCCTTAATTCTGTTAATGTAGTACATTATGTTGATTGATTTTCATAAGTTGAATTATCCTTGCACTCCAGGAATAAGCACCTCTTAGTCATAGTGTATAATCCCTTCAATAGCTGCTGAATTTGGTTTGCTAGTATTTTATTGAGAATTTTTACATCAATATTTATAAGGGATATTGGGCTATAGTTTTCTTGTGGTGTGTTTGTTTGGTTTTGGTACTTGGGTAATGCTGGCCTCATAGAATGAGTTTGGAAGTGTTTCTTCCTCTCCAATTTTTTGGAAGACTTTGAGAAGGATTGGTATTAATTCTTCTTTAAAAGTTTGGTAGAATTCACCAGTGAAAATATCTGGTCCTAGGCTTTTATTATTGAGCGTTTTTTTTGTTTGTTTGTTCTTTTATTGATTTCAGAGAGAGAAGAAGGGGGGGAGGGAAGGAGGGAGGGGAAGAAAGAGAGAGGTGAGGGAGAGAACTGAGAGAGAAGCAACTATCAGCTGCCTTCTACATGCGCCCTGACTGAGTATGGAACCCACAACCTAGGTATGTGCCCTGACAGGGAATCGAACCTTCACCTTCTGGTGTACAGGAAGACACTCCAACCGAGTCACACCAGCCAGGGTTTATTGAGAGGTTTTTGATTACTGATTTACTCTTTACTGATTATACATCTGTTGATATTTTCTATTTCTTCTTAAGCAACTTCAAGTAATCTGTGAGTTTCAAGGAATTTGTCCATTTTTCTAGGTTATCTCATTTGTTGGCCTATGACTGTTCATAGTATTCTCTTATAATCCTTTTTATTTCTGTGATATCATTAGTGGCATCCGTCTTTTCATTTCTGATTTTAGTTGAGTCTTCTTTTATTCTTAGTCCATCTGACTAAAAGTTTGTCAATTTCGTTAATGTTTTCAAAGAACCAACTCTTAGGTTTGTTGATTTTTTTCTATTGTTTTTCTATTCTCTATTTTATATATCTCTGCTCTAATCTTTATTATCTCCTTCCTTCTGCTAGCTTTGGGTTAAGTTTCTTCTTTTTCTAGTTCTTAAGATGTAAACTTAGGCTGTTGAAGTATTTTTTTAAATGTAATTATAACTATAAATTTTCCTCTTAACACTGCTTTTTCTGTTTTGTATATTGTGTTTTAATTTTCATTTGTCTCAAAATATTTTCTCATTTCTCTTGTGATATTTTTCTCTGACCATGGATTTTTAAGGAAAAAATTGTTTAATTTCCATGTATGGATTTTCCAGTTTTCCTTCTGCTGTTGAATTCTAGTTTTATTCTCTTTTTTTAAAATCCTCACACGAGGATATTTTTTCCATTGGTTTTCAGAGAAAGTGGAAAGGGGGGGGAGAGAGGGTGAGAGGGAGAGGGAGGGGGAGGGAGAGGGAGAGGGAGAGAGATCGATGTGAGAGAGGCACATGGATTGGCTGCCTCTCGATTGAGCAGCCACCAGGGCTGGGGATTGAGTCTGCAACTGAGATATGTTGCAGAATAGAACTCTGGACACTTCAGTCCATGGGCTGATGCTCTAACCATGAAGCAAATCAGCTTGGGCTAGTTTTATTCCCTTTTGATGGAAATAACACTTTGTATGATTTCAATCTTTTAAACTTTGTTAAGTCTTGTTTTGTGGTAAGATAATTTCTTTTCTTTTTTTTTTAATCCTCACCCGAGGATATGTTTAATGATTTTTAGAAAGAGAGGGAGGGGGAGAGAGAGAAGCACTGATGTGAGAGAACCATCGATTGGTTGCCTCTTGTACCCACCCTGACCGGAGATTGAACCCACGGCCTAGGTATGTGCCCTCACTGGGACTTGTACCTGCAACCTCTTTTGATGTACGGGACAAAGCTCTAACCAACTGAGCCACCTGGCCAGGGCAAGATCATTCATTTTTCAAGACAGTAAAATGAAGATTTCTTTTTGCTCAATAAGGTTTTCAAAAATTTTTTGCTAATAAGGTTTTTAAACTTCAATATAAAATTATGACTTGAAAAAACACAATTAGAAAATGAGCAAAAAACAACAATAAAAGAAACATGTCTTGTTTGCTATACAGATGCAAATAAGCACATGAAAATATATTCAACATCATTAGCCATGAGGCAAATGCAAATTAAACCCACAATGAGTTATTACCACACACCTATATAAATGTCTAAAATAAAAAATAGTAACAACAGCAAATGCTGCTGAGGATGCTGACAAAAATGAATCATTTATACATAGCTAGAGGGAATGTGAAATAGTACAACCATTCTAGAAAACAATTTGGCAGTTTTTTATATAACAATGCATGTATTATCATATGACCCAGCAATTATACTTCTGAGCATTTATCCCAAAACAATGAAAACCTATGTTCACACGAAAATCTATACATAAAAGTCTATACCAACTTTATTTGTAGTAGGCAAAAACTGGAAATATGTCCTTCATATTGTTAAAAGTGGCACATCCATATCATAGCATACTATTTAGCAATAAAAACAACAGACTATTGATATATGTGACAATGTGGATGAATTACAAGAGAATTATGCTGAATGAAAAAAGGCAATATTAAAAGGTTATATAGCATATGATTCTATTCATACAGCATTCTCAAAAATGACAAAATTGCCCAGCCGGTAGGCTCAGCGGTTGAGCATTGACCTAAGATCCAGAAGATCACAGTTCGATTTCTGATCAGGGCACATGCCCAGGTTGTGGGCTCGATCCCCAGCGTAGGAGACAGCTGATCAATGACTCTCATCATTGATATTTCTATCCCTCTCTCTCTCCCTCTCCTTTCCTCTCTCTGAAATCAATAATGACATATTTTTTAAAAAATGACAAAATTATAAAGATGGAGAATAGAATAGCTTACTGGTTGCCTGAGGTTAGAGATAAGGAGGAGGAATAGCATGGGTAGCCTTGTGGTGATGTAAGGGTTGTGTATCTTGATTGTGGTGATGGCTACATGAATCTACACATGTGATAAGTCTAATAAAACTACACACACACGCAAATGATTGCATGTAAAATTGGTGAAGTCTGAAAAAAATCTGTGGCTTATAACAATGTCAGTTTACTGGTGTTTGAAGATGTTACCACTGAGGTAAACTTGGTAAAGGATAACAGGGACTACTTTGTGATTTTTTTAATAACTTCCTGATCTAAAATTATTGCAAAATAAAAAAATTAAAAAGAAAACAGCTAACTAAAATTACAATTAGGATAATGTAACGTATACCTTCTGACATTTATATTTTATCAAAGCTAACTATCAGAAATCCTGGTTTACAGAGTTGTGATTTTCCAGAAAAGATAGGGTACATTGTGTTTAATAAGAAACGGAGTATAACTCCATATGTTGTATAAATACAGCACCACAAAAACTGTAGTGGGACCAAATGTGTTACCGTACTACATAAGATACTCTATATCCTTATCGTAGGTCCATAAGTACCTGCAAAAGCCATGCAGACATGGTCATCAAGGGCACAAATTTTCCTTACTGTTCTTTCATCTTGAAGCTTGGCAACAGATTTTTTTTCTACCCCAAGTACAACTATATTGGTACCACGAATTCCAACCTGTTAAGTCATTAAAAATATATAATTAGTTGTCAGTTTATCATTAAATCAACTTATTCTAACACATGACTTATAGGAAAATGCTTTTCCTTAAATGTTCATTGAAAGTGAAAAAGCAGACTTCTACAAAAACAGCTACATAGATCCTGGCTTACTGGAAGTCCATTACTGAAACTCAAAGCAAAAAAGACATATAGGTAGAAACGGGAAGAATATACCATAAATGTTGAAACTATGAGTGTCTTAATCTCATACAATACACCTAAAGATATGCTATCTAAATATAGAACAATTTTAACTAAAATGAAAGATTCTGGGAACCCATGTGGATTCCTTATAGAAAGAGGGCAGGCAGTACCAGTATGGGTGGGAGCAGAAATAGTATAGAAAGTTAAGTAGATACATTCTGAAATCTCTCCCATGTGTCTCACAGCTTGGAGAGAGAGGGACTGGAGGTCATAAGCAGCCAAGAGAAAGATCAAATGCCTGCACCCCAGATCATGGATAAAGCCTCAATTCAAACAGGGATATAACAAGAAGAATCACTACTGCTCCTCCCTCCACCCCTTCCCTTGGGAAGGAAGTAGAAAAACGTCTAAAGAATAATGTACAAGAGTAGTAGTTCTCAAACAGGGATTTCTGGGGAAACATGGCCATATTCTTAGGGGTTCAAGAGTAATCTATGAGAATTTTAATTCTGCATTAAAATGGTAATCTATTATTTTGATATTGGTATTTGTACTTATGATTGCCTTTTGGCCAAGTGTGATCATATTGTACTGTTTTATACGACAATAACTAGGCAAAAGGTGTATACTGAATTAGTATTCTTTTTTAAAAAACTATTTATTTATTTTAGAGAGAGAGGAAAAGAGAGAGAGAGACATCCATTGGTTGTTCCACCCATTCATGTATTCATTGTTTGATTCTTGTATGTGCCCTGACTAGGGGATTGAACCTGCAACCTTGGTGTACCGGGATGACACTCCAACCAACTGAGCTCCCCAGCCAGGGCCTGAATTAATATTCTTGCAGTAAAAATACAGAACAGATTAAATATAGAATTAGACCTGATATTACATCTTTCAATTAAATAAAACATAGACAATTTATCAAAGCTTTTGCTCTAATTGTTCCCTCACTTCATTTAAGTCTGTCAGTTTATCCAAGAGGCGTTCCCTAACCATCCTATCTAAAATCAGCAATCCTCTCTCCAAATCCCACCCTCCTCTAATACACATGTCGAACTTCATACGCTATAGGGCACATGCCTTCTTATCAAGTCATGAGACGTTACAACAACTTAACATATGTTAGGACTCAAAGAAAATCTCAGTATTTTCCTCAAATTGAAATAAATCAATTTAAAATCACTGATCACAAGACAATACAATAATTTTTATAACTCTCAACTAAACAATTTTGACTTAATAAAGAAATTAAAACTCCCAACAGGTTGGGTCGTGAGTATGCCTCTTCATGCAGGCGCTGCCACAGCCTGGGAGCTGTGTGCAAAGCTGACTTTTGAAGGGTTGAGTTACAAGCAGTCCATCCCATCCCAGAGATGGCAGGAAAGGGAGGGAGGGGAGAGGGAAGGAAGGAGAAAGTGGGAAGGGTGGTGTAGATTTGTGTGACTGATCTCAGCAGGAGGTGCAGAGATGTAAGTTGAGAATGCATGCAGTGAAAGCCCTTGGGGCCTCACCCCCCCAAAATAACTCCCACCTTAATCCCTGCCCCTATTGCCTGCTGTCCCCATGGGCTACCTACCCCTCTTCCTCTTCATCCACCCACCCCATTACCTACATGGCTGACCCAAATCCAAAGCATTTTGTATATATAATTTTTTTTTTTTTCTTTTCAAAGAACAAAACAAAATAAACCTTCCAACACATACTATCTAGAAAATGTTTATAATGAAAATCCTAATATCGAAGTCTTTTGGATGTGGACAGAATTATGCTGAGAAGAAAATTCAGAATCTCACTTTATAAAATCAAATTAAAAATTCATTCAAGAAGTTAAAAAAGGGATAAAAATGTTAAAACTAAGCTCAAGGGGAGAAATAAGGAAAAAGCAGAAATTAATGATTAGGGAGAAAACAATAAAATTGATAAATAATACCAAGAGATAGTTTTTTAAAGAAATATTTTTTTTTTTTTTTTTTTTTTAATGTCTTAGTTAAACCAGCCAAAAGGAAAAAAGAGTAAAGGAAATATATTCAAGCAGGGAAAAGTAGGAATTGAAAAATTATAACCCTAAATTAATAAATTTGAAAATCTTACTGAAAGGATGACAGACTAGAAATATTAAAAATTGCCCATACTGACTCAAGAAAAGAAAGAAAAACTCAGTCTCACTAACAAAGGGGATAATTTCAGAATGAACTATTCCTTAGAAAAACTCAAGTGTCACCCTGGCCAGTGTGGCTCAGTTGGTTGAGTGTAGTCCTGTGCACCAAAAGACTGCTGATTCAATCCTGGTCAGGGCATATGCTCAGGTTTTGAGTTAGATCTCAGGTCGGGCTGAGTTTGAGAGGCAACCAATTCCATGTTTCTCTCTCTCCCTCCTTCCCTCTCTCTTTCTCTCTCTCTAAAAATCAATAAAAAAGTCTTTTTTTAAAAAAAGTGTCAGGCCTAGAAGGTTCATGAATGAATTCTTTCTAATCTTCTGTTATGGGTACATTCCCATGGTATTTAAATTATTCTGTGGTACAGATCAAAATGGAAATATTCCTAACTCTTTTTAGGAAAGCTATATAACAATGTTAAAATCTGGCAAATATAAAATTTTCTAAATTAAGGAAAATACCAATGATTTTCACTTAGGAAAGCTGATGCTAAAAATTCAAAACAAAATATTTACAAATAGAATCCAGAGTTACACAAAAATAATAATATACCATAAACAAGTATGATTCATTCCAGGAATTTTGGAATCATCAATAAAAGTAAATATTTTATTTTTAAAAAATATATCTTTATTGATTTCAGAGAGAGGAAAAGAGAGGGAGAGAGAGAGAAACAAAAAGTAAATATTTTAATATAAATGATAGAGTGGGTAATGGAGATGTTATTTTTGACCTTCTGATTATAGCACTTCAACTGTTCTTGAAGAAATATTGAGTCTTTAGGTGGGGCTGTAATGTAAACCAGTCTATCCAAACTGTAAATCCTTAAAGTTTCACTGGAAGTGTTTGGAAGACAGGATAATTCTTTCTGCTCTAACAGAGTCAAAACAGGAAAGTCACGTCTGAGAGTGAAAGTAATAGGGAGAGAAAGCAAGATATGGAGAGGGAAAGAGGGAGAGAAAGAGAGACACACAGAGAGAGACACACCAGTTCTTCTGACATCCTTTAAGACCCTAGTAGTCATATAATTGAGCCTAAAAACAAAGTTTACCCTGGCTCCCATTGGGTACTTGATTCAACAGGTTCACTTTATTGCTTAAATTATTGTGAGTTGGATTTCTGATGCTTGCAATTTAGTAGTCCTAACTAAAACAATTCTATGGTAAAAATTAAAAGTAAATGATAAAAGCTACAAAGGCATTTCATAAAATTCAATATCCACACCTAATTTTAAAATAACTTTAGAATAGCAGGAAGAATGCTATTTCACACCTTATTAAAAGTATTACAAACTAGCAGATAAAACCACCTAAGAAAATGAATCACTATCCATTCAACTGTTTAAGCCAACAGTTGGCTTTATAGCTTCCTCTCCCACACCATCCATTTCCAATCGATTACCAAGTTTCTGTCCACTTTGCCTGCAAAAGCAATCTACATCTTCCTATCACCACTCTAGTACATGCAACCATCATTTCTTGCCTATGTAACTTAGTAAATTTTCCTGTTTCTACTCCTGCTCCCCACCTTTCCACAGTGCCCCCATACTCCACAGCCTTCCCTCATTCCCCCCAGTGCACTCTAATCTAGTCTGCACAAAGCAGTCATAGTGAGCATTTAAAAATATCAATAGGGCCCTGGCTGGTGTGGCTTAGTTGGCTGGAGCATCGTCCTGTACATCAAAAGTTGGTGGGTTCGATTCCCAGTCAGGGCACATATCCACATTGCTGGCTTCAATCCCTGGTCGGGGCACATTCGGGAGGTAGCTGATCGGTTTCTCTCTCAAACTGATCTCTCTCTAAAATAATCAATTAAAAAAGTTTAAAAATATGTCAATAGGGTTAGATTACTCTCCAGTTGAATATCTTTCCATGGCATTCTACTGTACTTAGAAAATGTTTTTTAAAATCCTCAATTTTGCTTATAAAGTGGGCATGATCTGCCCCCTGCCTACTCTTCAATAGTATATCATTATTGTTAAGCAAGCACCAACCATACTACCTTCTTTCAAGGTTGTCTCAAATACAGTTCTGTTTTCCTCCTCTAAGCACTCACACATGATATTCCCTCTGCCTGAAAAAGTTCTATTTTAGGTCTCAATTTAAATCTCACTCCAAGGAGTCCTCTATTATTTTATAAGCAACCCGTTATGTTCTTGCAATCAGTACATTTATTATTATTTATTTATTCACTGTGGTTATTTCTTAAATAGTATATTCTATGAGGGCAAGGAAACAATTGGATAAGTCTAGTAAGCGGGACACTCTACCCAATTAACCCAGTCTCTTCAAGATGTCAAAGACAGAAAAGAAAGAGGGGATGCTACTTAAGAATAAAACAGAGATAACTAAACAGCTAAGTGCTTGATACTTGATATAAAATAAGTATTACTTAAATGTTAGTTTACTGTGTAGTAGAAATACAAAAGGGATTACACCATCTAGATTCTCAAAGCTCTTACTATCTAGTTGATGTGAGAAGACTATATATCTGAAATTAAAGAGACTATTGCGCCAAACAGTAAATATTGTATAATGCTCTGTGTTACAGATTATAAATGCAGAAGAAGAAAAATATCCATGATGACTAGAGTGGATCAGAGATGGCTTTCTGAAGGAGAAATGTGTGATCTTGGAGGAAAAGTAAAGATATAGAGAGCGGCAGAAAGAAAGGTGTTTTCTTCTCTCCCCTCCTACAAGGGCAGAAGCATATATTAGTGAAATCGTGAAGCTGCCCCCTTAATTAAAGACAGTGGGTAAGGATTATGAAAGACTTTGATGGTCAGACTGTGGAGCTGAGATTTGATAAAGTAGGAAATATGGAGCTAATAACAGTTTAGGGTCAGGGAAAGGACTGAATGAGGAATCATAATAAATCTTATCTTTTTCATGAGAATATCATGAAGGATTCATATTTTTCCCAAGAAGAACGGTATTACTTCTCCAAAATGTTATTCAAAGATGTTTTTCATCTATAGAAAAGGGAACTAACAAAAAGAAAACAGGCCTCTTATCTTACTTCATGCTGTAAAATCATCATCAAGGAGGTAAAACCCAAGGCCTCTAATTGTGGCCCATGTAACTTTTTGTTTTACTAAATAGTATCATATTCACATATTGGTCAAAACGGGTCAACCTTCAACCTTGGCTTATTTATAACTCATCATATCAAATATCATTTACAGATAATTTTGTGACATATTTTAATAAACAAGTGCTATTATAAACTTTACCCCATGTAAAAGGTCATAGCACCCTCAAAGAAACACAATCAAACTCCATATAAAGATGCAAATTATAATTTCAGAATCCTGAGACAAAACTGTCTTATCCTTCCAATGTATCTTTAAAAATGCCCACTATAGGTATTTTTATATCCTTACCCTTTTACAGCTCATTACAAAGGAACTATCAATCAGTTCTATAGCATTCTAAAACATTTTAAATGAGCCAATGTGGTTTCTTATTATACCCTAGTCTTCTCCCATTACTCCCTTCATTTTAGGCTCTAAAACTTGGGCATTATTTTCTAACCATATGCTTCATGCCATGCTGGGGATTATATAACTTTTTGTTTTTATCAAAATGGTACCCTTTTGGTTTAAGCTACATCAGGCTTTTCTTAAATTTACAATTCTAAAAAAATTACTTACAAAACAGAAGCAAAACTAGTGGGCCCCATTAAATAGAAAAATACTTTAAAAATTATAAGATTCTCTCCAGTGTTTTTTTTTTATCACTTTACATTTGATAGATTTATAATAAAAGTGAATTATTTCCTTCCATAACTAAGTTGGTATGGAAAATGAGAGAAAATACAGACACCGCTACAGTTAGAAATGAACTGTGTATTCTCATAGCTGGTGTCTCAAATTCCAAAATGTACAACAAACTACCTCATGAAATTTGAAAGATTAAAAAAAATTGGATCCTCCTGAATCAAAGGCTAGGATTTGGAAGATATGGATAATTGGTCCTTGGTTATCAGAGCATTTTTGTCATTTTTAATTTTTATATACCAGAAAATTATTAAAGATAACTAAAACTTGGCAGGAGTATTAAAACTACCGAGTAAAGTTTTTCAGAAATGTAGATAGGTAAATTTAAATAAGAGTATAATCTCTCAAAGAATTTCAGAACTATTTAAAAGCCAAACCAAAAAACCTGGCAAAAGAGAGGAGATGCTTGGGGCTTAGAGGCTCTAAAAGGCTGTCAAATATTTGGGTGCAAATACTAGGACAGTAATTTTTTTTTTTTTTTTTAATATATCTTTATTGATTTCAGAGAGAGGACAGGAGAGGGAGGGAGAGAGATAGATAGAAACATCAATGACGAGAGAGTCATTGATCGAGCCCGCAACCCGGGCATGTGCCCTGACCGAGAATAGCCTGGATCCTAGGTCGACCCTCAACGGCTGAGCCGCGCCCGGCGGGGTAGGACAGTAATTTTTAACAAGTCAAAGTGTTTGTAAGTGGTTTAGCCGTACCCTCACCAACAAGGATTTAATTTTACATTGACTTACTCTGTATTGTGATTACACAGCGGCCCCCACGTGAAGCAACTGTCACTTTTCCATGCACATGTGAATTCCCGAGGAAGTGCGCCATGTGCATTCAGGTATGCTGCTACAGGTTGAAAGAAAACTTTTCTTTCCTTATCGTCAGAAACAGCATTAATACCGTTTCTGCTGTCAAGGCTCCTAAAAGACACGCACGCACGCACGCACGCACGCACGCCCGCCCACGCCTGCCCCAGAGCTCAGCAAGGACCTGGTGGCCAAAGCCAGCGATCCCTAGCTGGAAG